TGCCGTGCAGACCGTCGGTCGGATTAAGCTGAGAATTCGCTATATCGAAGCTCGCTCCAAGAGCTTTAAAATGAGCCAAGTTGCCTCGCGAAAAGTTCTGCCATTACTAAGTTCTGGCTCGGACAGCGTTTGCCTAGCGTTGGAGTGCTAGCATACTAGCGTTGACTCGGGTAGCATTCCGCCGTCGAATAGCGCAGAAACGAAATTCCAGCGAGGAAGGAATTCGCTTGAATCAATTTGACTATATTCAGGTACAAACAGAGAAGGATTAAATAGTTCTAGCTAGCAAGGACCTTGGGAATCAACCTGGGAACAACCAGGGATGATCCCAAATAATTCCAAGCAACAGAACCAACCTGGCTGGACAAAATAGCAGGTGGTAGGTTGGTAAACAACCTCTGGTTCTGTTTTTCCAACCTGGGAAAACAACAACCAGGTTCAGGTTCTAAAAACAGAACCTGTTTTGTCTTTGCCTAACCAGCCAAATGCTGGTTCCGCTGGTTTCCCCTGGCCTTGTAGCATGCAGATACAGACAAACAACATCCAACCTTCACCTAAATTGTACCCCTATAGTGCCTTCCCTGCTACACTATAGTTAACCAAACAAAACAGTACAATTTCGAGTTGGATAGAACTGAATCTGCGCAATCAACTCAACCGAACTGCAAAGCTTCCATCTTGGGTTCCTTTGCGAGCTCGTCCTTTCTGCTTGCACTGTTCATAGCGCGTACAATGTTGTGCCGAAGCGCACATTGCGCGAGTACCTGCAAATGCATCAAGCGAAAAATGCGAAAGCAAACAAACACACGAACACACCATTCACACGCAAATGCATTCGCACACGCATACTCGTACAAACAGACGGCAGGATGTCGTGCAATGTAAATTTGCACCCAACAATTTCAGGGTGATTACAGGCTTCTCACCTGGTGGTCCCTGCAATTTCAGAATTTCTGACTTGTGCCCACTGATCCATTCAGAATAGTGCTTTAGCGAACCCTGAAATATTGTATCTAGGCTCAGAGTAGTGTTCTTACTGTCAATGTACAGCACGCATTCTGTGGACTCTGAATTTGACCTTATCGGTAGGAAGTTTCTCGGAACTTTCCTTCCGATATTCCCCCTTCGGATTGATCGCAGTGCAGCCAGCGCGTGAGTGACGGACACTAGCATGTCTGACAGGCGAATACACTCGATTTCTGTTACTTTCACAAAACTTGAGTAAGTTGTTTTACTGTCGTAATTGCGTGTGCGTGAAGTTAACAGAAAGTTTTTGCGTTTCGCACAGCAATGTTGACGACATTTAGGTACTCGGCGAATTAAAAATTTGGCACATCTGTGGTATTGAATCGAAATGTTTTGTTGACCAAAATCGCTCATCTCTTCCCGCACTTAAATGTATGGGAAAAAAACTATTTATAAACCTAAACGGTTGGAAATTAGCGCGCTCAAAGTGTGCGCGAAACACAGAGCGCACTTTTCGCAGAACAATGGTTTTTTCCCCTGTACTAAAGAGCGCGTTACTACTATGAACTTCGATTTTCGACCCTGAACAATCAGAGTTATACAACCCTGAGCAATAAGAGTAACATCTTTCTGAAAAATGTGCACTCATAATCGAGGGGGAAAATTTTCCCCGGAATCAGGGGGGCCTAATATGAAACGTCAGCCCTGGTCTTGCCTGCAGCCTGGCTGCCTTGACCTCTTGCTGCCCCGACAATATTTTTTCCCGGCTTGACAGAAGTGATGCTGATGGGAACGGTGCTGGTGAGATGGTGGTGGGAGTGAGATGGTGATGGGAGCGGGAATGGCGGACATCAAGGTGTAGGCCTGTCTGTTCCCTCCCCCTCCCATCCCAACATCAGTGCAGGGTCCACCTGGAGGACAGGACGGCGATGGGTATGGAAGGGGTGGATGTGTGTGGGGGGGATGAGTGGAAAAGGGAGAGCAGGAAGGTCCTTCCGCCCCACAGCACCGGCACACGTGGAAGTGATGTTGCGCGGAGTTCCACGTGGCACAACGCAACTCGAGAGAAGTCATCATTGAAAATTAATGTGCAACAACTGTGGTTGTGACGAATCAGATAAAGTTTTCACAATTTCGACAACATACAAGAAATGTTCGAGATTTTCGCGGGTTGCTTGTGGGTCCATAGCAAGAGCACCCAGGAGTTTATTGCTCAAGTGGGCAGAAGGAGAGGAGGGGGCGTGAGGGAATACGACATAGGGAGGACAAGGGTGTGAGGAAGGGCGTGGGTGTTAGGAAGGATGTGGGTGCGAGGGAGGAAATGGGTGGGAGACAGACAGCAGGCAGAGGTGATGAGAGGGAGGAAGGGGAGGTGGGGTTGGGGGAGGTGTGCGGGTGAGGAGGAGGTATGAACGAGCAGTGCAGGCATGAGCGCGTTCACAACCACCGAGTAGGCGTAGCAGGGAAGGTGGGGAAGAGGGGGCTGCGGGGTGGAGAGGGCGCAAAGGGTGAGAGAGGAGGGAGGTGGGGGACGGAGGGGGCGGGGTTAGTGAGAGTGGGGGCAGAGGGGGTGAGCCGGCAGTGCCGTCACCAGGTGCGGTGCGTTCAGCTGGGGGTACTGCTGGCGTGGTCACGCCCACCAGCTGCGTGTTCAGCTGCGGTGTGACGAGCTGGCGGGCATACTGGGAAGCTGTGAAAAGGGGTTTGGGAGAAGGGAGAGACAGACAGCTGAGAGAGGTGGGAGGGGAGGGGAGAAGGCGGTCGTGCGGGGAGAGGGGGGAGGAAGGAGGTATGCAGGCTACTGAAGGTAATGGCAGCACGACAGCCTACTGACAGTAACCCATGCGTTCAGCTCTGTGGTGTACCCAGTGGGTGGGCGTACCCAAGGGAAGAAGGGAGGGAGGACAGAGAGGAGGGGCAGAGAGGAGGGGCAGAAGTTGGAGGAGTGGGACCACCTGGTGAGAGTACCTGAGCTTGGCCGGCCGGCAGGAAGGAATAAGGGGAGGTGTGAGGAAGGAGGGGAGGGTGTGAGGAAGGAGGGGAGGGTGTGAGGAAGGAGGGGAGGGTGTGAGGGAAGCCTTCTTGCCTTCCGTTCACTTCCTCTCCCTTCACCTCCACTTCCTTCTCCTTCCCTCTTTCCGCCTCTCCTTCCGTCTCGCTCTTTTCAACTCCCATCCCTTCGTCCTCCCCTCCTTGCCCATTCGCTTGGTCCTTCTCTCCTTCCTTCCTCCTCGCTCGCCTTTGCCTACCCACATGTTTCTCATACACCTGCCTCATGTTCACTCTCTGACCCCTTTCCCTCACCTCTCCCATACAGTCCGCTTCCTCCTTCCCCTTGTCCTCCATCCATCCCACCATCCCCTGACCCCTTCCCCCCTTTCACCCTTCGCCTCTCCCACTCCCACGAGTGTGGCACACCCTTCTTCACGCCTCTCATGCTGCAACCATCCCGTGCCTCCTCCCTACCTCCCACCATCGCCATAAGAACCTGCACCCCCATGACCCACCCCCATGACCCACCCCCATGACCCACCTCCATGACCCACCCCCATGACCCACCCCCATGACCCACCCCCATGACCCACCCCCATGACCCACCCCCATGACCCACCCCCATGACCCACCTCCATGACCCACCCCCATGACCCACCCCCATGACCCACCCCCATGACCCACCCCCATGACCCACCCCCATGACCCACCCCCATGACCCACCCCCATGACCCACCCCCATGACCCACCCCCATGACCCACCCCCATGACCCACCCCCATGACCCACCCCCATGACCCACCCCCATGACCCACCCCCATGACCCACCCCCATGATCCACCCCCATGACCCACCCCCATGATCCACACGCCCAGCGTCCTATCCTAATCCACTCTCCTGTTCCCTCATCCCCTCCTCCCCTCCCTTCCCATTTCCCTTGTCCCAATCCCCCATCTTCCCCTCCCCCCGCGCCTGTCTCGCCCGGTTCACCTGTCTCTCTCCGCCCAGTTTCCCTCCGCGTTTCCCTCCGCGTTTCCCTCCGCGCTTCCCTCCGCGTTTTCCTCCGCGTTTCCCTCCGCGTTTCCCCCGCGGTTCCCTCCGCGTTTCCCTCCGCGTTTCCCCCGCATTTCCCTCCACGTTTCCCCCGCGTTTCCCTCCGCGTTTCCCCCGCGTTTCCCTCCGCGTTTCCCCCGCATTTCCCTCCACGTTTCCCTCCGTGTTCTCCCTCGTTCCCCACTCGCGCCCCTCTGCCCAGCCCCCCACTCGCATTCCTATGTTGGAAAAGTCGCCAGCCTGGGCATGCGTACAGCGTATATTCGTAGACGAATATACGCTATACGCAATACGCACGTACATTCGTTCGGAAAAATCCGGGCTGCCCGGCCAAAAAAGAAAAAGAAGAAGTTCGCGCACGAAATTGGAAAATTCGTCGCGACACACATTGTGTGCACGAATTTTGCAAATGCAACGTCAAATTGTTCGCAACATCACAATTCGTCGACCCCACCAACACACAAATTTGGCAAGGGGGCATTCAAATCAACCGCATTGCACCGTCCGTTACCCCGCAACTCCAACTCAGCTACACGAATGTCTCCAACCAGCCTATCTCAACTCTCATCGATGACAAAAGATAATCCCTCCCAACCCTAAAACATCTCATCAGTCGCGTCGTGATTCTCTTTCTCCAGTTCTCTCGATCGCCTCGCAGCTCTACGATGACGCCCCCAATGGTACTCCAGCGAGTGCGACTAATGAGGTTCCTAGTCCTGCCTGACCGGAAAAAAGTTTTACCTGCCCGGGCAGCGTATTTTTCACGTATTCTTGAGTCACCCATTCAGCGCATCCCGTATTATACGCAAGCATATATACGTTTGCGTATAATACGCTGGGCGCGACTTTTCCAACATAGTCGCTTTCCCTCGTCCCCTCTCCCGCCTCTCCTCGAGCTCCTAGCGCGCGCTCTCCTCCTTTCCTTCTCTCCTGCCTTTCCACACCCTGCAAGCATGTGACGTTTTGAGACATCTCAAAACATCACTTGTGTCACATAGCAGAGGAGCCTCCCTCAGCCCTGCAAGCATGTGGCGCCCCATCATTCTCTGTTCCCATGGACCGGGGGGAGGCGGAGGGGGATGGAGATGAGGAGGGTGAGGATGGGTGGGAGTGGGTGGGATTCGGATTGGGAGGGGCAGTGGGAGGGGGAGTGGGAGGGGGACTGGGAGGGGGATGGGGCGTTGGCGCGGGAATGGGATGGGAAGAGGGGAGGGGACAATTTCCTTCTGCCTCGCCAGCATGTGCCGCCTCATCACTCAGCGCATGCCGCAGGGGATGGGGAGGGTACGGAGGGACTTCCTTTAACCCTGCTAGTTCTGCAGCCACATCGCACCCTGCTTCTGCACGAGAAAGGGAGGGGGAGGGCGGAGGGGGATGGGGAAGAGAAGCGGGGATGGCAAAGGGGAAAATGCCCTGACTTGACAGCACAGCATGCCCTTTTCCTCCCAGCCGATTTTGAGTCGCATCAGCAGCCATTCCCGCCCAAACTTGGAGCTCTTTCCCCACATACCCGTTTTTCCCCATCATGTTACCCATCATTTCCCTTAAAGCCCTTTTCCCCACCCATGCACATTACCCCAGCAGCTTCGCCAGCACCTCCTCCATTCTTCTCCTCTCCTCACCACCTCTACTCCACTCCTCTTAAATCTCGGCCACTCGTGCTCATTCCCTTGCCTCATCTCTTCTCCTGTCAGTCCTCCCATCTCTCCTCCCCTTTTTCCTCATTCTCTCCTTTCTTCCTCCTGCACCATCCTCACCTGCCCACTTCCCATCCACCTCCCTCCCATCCACTCACCTGTCCAATCCAATCCCTGGCCCCACTCCCTCGCCTCTTCCAACCAATTCGCTTTCTCCTATCCCGGCACCCTCTCCCCCCCCCATGCCCTCCATCCCAACCCCCCCTGACATCAACCGCCCCTCTCCCATCTCTCACTCCTCCCTCGCCTCTAAACCCCCCAACCGCTGTGACAGCACACTCCCTCTTCACGCCTCTCATGCTCCTCCCATCCCATGCCTCCTCCACACCTCCCACCAACACCGTAAGCCCCTCTCCCCATGCCTCCCACCACTTCAATGCGGCATACACCCTTCGTTTTCTTCTCCTTTCCTCCACCTCCTCCTCCCCTTCCTTAATCTCCCCCATCCCCCCCCCTCCCCTGTTGGTGTAAGGGCCTAATAAACTCAAGCTATTAGGACTTAATCAAACTTAAAACCTCTCCTCGGGGTCACCTCCAAGGGTCCCTGGGTGCCTGGTACAAGACCAGCCCCTATCCTCGGGTCCGAGTTTGTAGAGAGAGGGATCAAGAAGGACTTAGTCAAAACAGCAAGAGTACCTTGAACGTCGCGCAGCGTGCCGTGCAGACCGTCGGTCGGATTAAGCTGAGAATTTGCTATATCGAAGCTCGCTCCAAGAGCTTTAAAATGAGCCAAGTTGCCTCGCGAAAAGTTCTGCCATTACGAAGTTATGGCTCGGACAGCGTTTGCCTAGCGTTGGAGTGCTAGCATACTAGCGTTGACTCGGGTAGCATTCCGCCGTCGAATAGCGCAGAAACGAAATTCCAGCGAGGAAGGAATTCGCTTGAATCAATTTGACTATATTCAGGTACAAACAGAGAAGGATTAAATAGTTCTAGCTAGCAAGGACCTTGGGAATCAACCTGGGAACAACCAGGGATGATCCCAAATAATTCCAAGCAACAGAACCAACCTGGCTGGACAAAATAGCAGGTGGTAGGTTGGTAAACAACCTCTGGTTCTGTTTTTCCAGCCTGGGAAAACAACAACCAGGTTCAGGTTCTAAAAACAGAACCTGTTTTGTCTTTTCCCAACCAGCCAAATGCTGGTTCCGCTGGTTTCCCCTGGCCTTGTAGCATGCAGATACAGACAAACAACATCCAACCTTCACCTAAATTGTACCCCTATAGTGCCTTCCCTGCTACACTATAGTTAACCAAACAAAACAGTACAATTTCGAGTTGGATAGAACTGAATCTGCGCAATCAACTCAACCGAACTGCAAAGCTTCCATCTTGGGTTCCTTTGCGAGCTCGTCCTTTCTGCTTGCACTGTTCATAGCGCGTACAATGTTGTGCCGAAGCGCACATTGCGCGAGTACCTGCAAATGCATCAAGCGAAAAATGCGAAAGCAAACAAACACACGAACACACCATTCACACACAAATGCATTCGCACACGCATACTCGTACAAACAGACGGCAGGATGTCGTGCAATGTGCATTTGCACCCAACACACTCCCCCTCAGCCTGCCGGCTGCATCCCCGTCATTCCATGCTAGTTCATGCTCATTCCACTCATGCGCACACAACGCCAATGAGGCTCATCTGCAAGCCTCTTGGTGAGAAAGTCTGCTGGCTGCTGGTGAGTCTTGATGTAGATTGGATTCACCGTCCCCCTCTTCACCTCCTTACGCAGCCAGTGCCACTTGATACGCATGTGCTTGTTCAGCCCATGAAGCACAGCGTTTCTGGCCATCCCAAGAGCCCCCTTGCTATCACAAAACAGCGGCGTAGCAACTTTCTGCTCCTGGCCAATCTCCTCTAACAGCCTCCTCAGCCAAATCACCTCCTTCACCCCATGGAACATCGCCATGTACTCTGATTCTACGGAAGAGAGTGCCGTCTCCGTCTGCTTCTTGGACCTCCAACTAACAGGTCCTCCCCCAACTACGCAGATGTATCCTCCCACAGATGAGGAATCCTCCTTCTCAGAAGCCCACGTAGCATCAGTAAAGCAAGTGAGAAATAGCTTGCCTTCTCCAAGCCTCTCCCCCTTCTCTTTCAGCACCTCCACCCCTTTCTGCTTCACCTGTGCAGATGCGGAGTATTGAACTCCAATGCTTGGGTGAGAGTTCAGGTACTTCACCACACGCTCAGCTGCATCCACCTGCTCCTCTGATGGATTCTGCACCACCCTAGCCAGCTGCCCAACCGAGAAAGAGATGTCGGGCCTCGTGTGAACTGCTGCGTACAAGAGGCTGCCCACCAAGGACTGAAATTGCTGCTGCTCTTCAGCTTCAACCCCTTCATCCTCTGCAGCCTTCACAAGCTTGAATTCTGCTGGCAGGGGAGTTGCAACCTTGCGCTCATTCTCAATCCCATACTTCTCCCCCAGCTCCTTGATGAACTTCTCCTGGTGCAGCTTCAACCACCTGTGATCAGGATCCCTCTCCACGTGCATCCCGAGGTAGTACTTTACCTCCCCAAGGTTCTTGCACTTGAAGTTTTCCATCAGTTGCTGCTGCACTTTCTGGATCTCCTTCATGCTGCTGCTGAAGAGAAGAATGTCGTCCACATAGACCAGAAACAGCACCAGCTTCTCCCCCTCGCCCTTGAGAAAGAGGCTCTCATCACAGCTGCTGGTCCTGAATCCCATCTCCTCTAAAACAGCTGCCAACTTCTGGTACCAGCAGCGTGGCGCCTGCTTCAAGCCGTAGATGGACTTGTTGAGCTTGCACACCCTGCCCGTACCATCCTCATACCCAGGCGGCTGCGTCATGTACACATCCTCCTCTAAAATCCCATTCAGGAATGCCGTTGAAATATCCATCTGAATGATGAATTTCCCACTAACAGCTGCATCTGCCAACAAGACACGGAGGGTAGGGGGTTTGGCAGTGGGAGCAAAGATCTCGTTGAAGTCCTGCTTCTCCTTCTGCATAAACCCCTTCGCCACCAGCCTACTCTTGTAGATGGTGACCTGCCCCTTGTCATCGGTCTTGATCCTCAGCACCCACTTGCATTGTATCGCTTTCTTCCCATCAGGCAGCACCACCAGATCCCATGTCCTATTCTCCAGCAGACTCTGGTACTCAGCATCCCTAGAAGCCAGCCACTTGTCCCTATCTGGTCCAGCTAATGCCTCCTCCATGCTAGCTGGTTCCTCTGGTGCAGGGGCAAGAAAACAGTACGCAGGCTCATCCTCCTCATCCGGGTCATAGCCATGAGGTAGAATCAGCAATGCCTCTTCGGTCCCTAGCTGCTGCTCTGCTGCATCAGTTCCTGCAGTCAGCTTCTTAGTAGCCATACGGGTACGTCCTGGCCTGGAGACGGGTGTCTCCCATCCCTTCATAACGACACCCTTCGGCTTCTTAGTTTTTCCCTGCTGCTTCTCTCCTCCCTCGGGTCCAGCAGCTCCACTAGTGCTGCCGCCAGTTTCCACACCATTTTCTCCACCAGCAGATGCCTCCTGTATCTTCTCTCCATCACCATTTCCAGCAGCTGCCTCCTCTCCCTCCTCCCACACACTAGGAGTCAGGTCCAGCTGCATGGTGATCTGCTCCATCTGCTGGGACACCCTTGCCTCCGGCTGTTTCTCCCAGCTCCCATACATCATGCCCTCAATGAATTTCACATCCCTGCTGTCAAACAACACACCCTTGGATGGTTCCCACAGCAGCCATCCCTTGCTCTCAGCAGCCAGCCCCAAATGCACACACCAGATTGCACTCGCCCCCAACTTACTGCGGTAGGTCTTGGGGACGTGGGCGACTGCCATGCAACCGAACACCCTCAGCATGTCCACCGGCGGCTTCCTCCCAAGCCACCTCTCCAAAGGCACCCACGAGTCATCCCCAACCTTGGTGAGCACCCTGTTCCTAGCGACGGTGGCGTGCCGAACAGCATGAGGCCACATAGAGTTGCTCAGCCCAGATTCTATGAGCAGCGCCCTAGCTGTCTCCAGAATGGTCCGGTTTGCCCGTTCTGCTACACCATTGGACTGTGGGGTATAAGCCGTGGTCAGCTCTCTCTGGATGCCCTGCTTCTTGAGCCAGGCCGTCATTTCAGCTCCAAGGAACTCACCACCCCGGTCTGTCCTAATCCGCTTCACTACACACTCCGCCTGCTTCTCCACGAATGGCAGCCAATCGTCCCGTATCGTGGAGGCGGCGTGGTCCTTCTGCTTCAGCGGATACGCCCACATCAGTCTGCTCCAGTCATCCACAATTGTAAGAAAATACCGCTCCCCCTTGTGCCCTTGCACCGGCAGCGGCCCCACCAAGTCCATGTGGACCAGCTCCAAAGGCTTCTTGCTCCTGCCAGCCACACTATGGAAAGGGAAACGGGTGAACTTTGAAAGCAAACAGATTTCACAGTTGTCATCGGGTGGCTGTCCGTTCAGCTTTAGACCCTTAACGGCTCCATCCTTCTCCAGCTGCTTCAGCAAAGGCATTGCCACATGCCCTAAGCGTCGGTGTGCCGTTGCCCAATCTGTCTCCCCAGATCTGGCCGACACTTTCACACACAAACCCCTCCAACGGCATTGCACTCCCCCTGGGATGCAGACCCCTCTCCAGCCTGCCCCCCACCATGCCACGCCAGGGCCGGCAGCTGCCACATAGATCTGTACACGTCCTTGCTCTCGTGCAGATCCCAAAGCACCCGATTGCCCAGCTTCCCCTTATAAGTGCGTGCCCCATCCGTGTTGGTGTTCACCCCAGCCTTGCCAAGCTTACGGAGGGAGATAAGGTTGGCCTTCAGGTCGGGGACGAAGAGAACGTCGTGCAGCACCACCGGCTTGC